CCCCCTTCATTCTGCCTTCATACAGGGAAAGCACACTCAAAGCAGCCCTGACAGATGGCCACCCAGCCTCAATAACAACAACAATAACATTAATACTAATAAAAGTTGGAAGATATCCTTTAGGCCAGTGGTTCTCAACCTTTCTAATGCCGTGACCCTTAAATAAAGTTCCTCATGTTGTTGTGACCCCCAACCACATTTTCGTTGCTACTTCATAACAGTAATTTTGCTACTGTTATGAAATGTAATGTAAATGTCTGATATGCAGGATGTAATTTCATTGTTACAAATTGAACATAATTAAAGCATAGTGATTAATCACAAAAACAATATGTTTGGGGGAGTGTGGGCAACGGATGATGGGATGTGAAGTACCTTCAACCGATGCAGCTCTGACTTCCAGAGACCACTGAGACACCCCTCCCCCCCCCCCCCCCGAAATACAGACCAGGACCAAACTTGGCACACAGAACCCTAATGACCAATAGAAAATACTGGAGGGGGTTGGGAGGAATTGATAGTGAATTATGGGAGAGGTAGTTCACCTACATCCAGAGAGCACTGTGAACCCAAATTACTATGGATCTGGACAGAACTTGGCACAAATACTCAGTATGCCCAAATCTGAAGACTGGTGGAGTTTGGGGGAAATAGACCTTGGCGTTTGGGAGTTGTTGGGATGTATAGTTCCCCAGCCATCAAAGAGCATTCTGAACTCCAACAATTCAATTGGACCAAACTTGGCCTGTAGGACTCTCCCGACCAACAGAAAACACTGGAGAGATTTTGGGAAAATAGACCTTGGCATTTGGGACTTGGGGTGTTTAGTTCCCCAGCCATCAAAGAGCATTCTGAAATCCAACCACAATTAAATTGGACCAAACTTGAGTTGTGTGGAAGGGGACTGGGTTATCTGAGGCCCCTTCCATACAGCTGCATAAAATACACATTGAAGTGGATTATCTGGCTGTGTGGACTCAGATAATCCAGTTCAAAGCAGATAATGTGGGATTTCATTCAGCTGTGTGGAAAGGGACTGGGTTATCTGGGGCTCCATCCATACAGCTGCATAAAATACACATTGAAGTGGATTATCTGGCAGTGTGGCCTCAGATAATCCAGTTCAAAGCAGATAATGTGGGATTTCATTCAGCTGTGTGGAAGGGGCCTGGGTTCTCTGGGTCCCCTTCCATACAGCTGCATAAAATACACACTGAAGTGGATTATCTGGCTGTGTGGACACAGATAATCCAGTTCAAAGCAGACAATGTGGGATTTCATTCAGCTGTGTGGAAGGGGACTGGGTTATCTGGGTCCCTGTTCCTTCGCTCTTTCGCTTGCCTTGCAACCTCTTCTCTTCCCTTCAGTCTCCTCTCACGCTGTTGCTTTCCCCATTCACCTCGCGCGGAGGCCATTGGCGAGAGCGCGAGGCAGGCGACAAGGGGCTTCTGGGACGGCAGGCGTCGCGCGGAGGCCTCCTGGCCTGCCTCGCTCTCTCGCCGATGGCGACGGTGCAAAGCAGGCCAGGAGGCCTCCGCGCGAGGCCTGGCATCGCGGAAGCTCTCCTCGCCTGCCTCGTTCTCTCGCCGATGGCCATTGGCGAGAGAGCGGGGCGGGCGAGGAGGGCTTACACAACGCCAGGCCTCGCGCAGAGGCCTCCTCGCCTACCTTGCACCCTCGCTATCGGCGAGAGAGCGGGGCAGGCGAAGGGCCAGACGCTCCATTGGCCTCAATTGGGTCCAGGAAGGAGAGAGGAAGCGTGAGGAAGGCGGCCCTCCGGCCTCCTTCCTCATGCTGCCTCTTTCCTCACTGGGCCCAGCTGGGGCCCAACGGAGCGTCTGGCCCACGCCGCGCTGCTGCAGGAGCCTGTAGACATGCTGGAAGCCTCTCCGGAAGCAGCAGGGGTGAGCGCGCTCACCAGCGCAGGTCTCCCTCCTCCGTCCTCGCCCCGCAGATGCCTTCCTCGGCAGGCGCACACGGGATGAGAGAGGAGGGAAAGGTGTGCACCAGCTGCAGAAGACAGCGCAGGGTGCATCTTTCCCTCCTCTCCCATCCCGTGTGCACCTCCACCGCCGAGGAAGGCATCTGCGGGGCGAGGACAGAGGAGGGAAAGGTGCCAGACGCTCCGTTGGGCCCCAGCTGGGCCCAGTGAGGAAAGAGGCAGCGTGAGGAAGGAGGTCGGAGGGCAGGCCGCTGCGGGCGGATGTTCTCCTCCGCTGCCTCGGCTCCACTGCCATTCGTCATCTAATATGTCCGGAAGACAAGACGACCCCCAAGTTTTCAAAGGATTTTAAAGGTTTAAAAAGTCGTCTATTACCCCGGTTTTTACGGTAGTTGGATCTTCTCATGGTCCGGGGCACTCTCAGAACTTTCCTCCAACACCACAATTCAAAAGCATCTATGTTCCTTCGCTCAGCCTTCCCTATGGTTCAGCTCTCACACCCACAGGTTACTACGGGGAATACCACTGCTTTTACTATGCAGATCTTCGTTGCCAATGCGATGTCTCTACTCTTCACTATTTTATCGAGATTGGTCATTGCTGTCCTCCCAAGAAGTAAGTGTGTTCTGATTTCCTAGCTGCAGTCTGCGTCTGCAGTAATCTTTGCACCTAGAAATACAAAATCTGTCACTGCCTCCATGTTTTCTCCCTCTATTTGCCAGTTATCAATCAGTCTGGTTTCCATAATCTTGGTTTTTTTGCTGTTTAGCTGCAACCCAGCTTTTTCACTTTCTTCTTTCACCTCGATTAGAAGGCTCCTCAGCTCCTCCTCGCTTTCGGCCATCAAAGTGGTATCATCTGCATATCTAAGGTTGTTAATGTTTATTCCAGCTATTTTTACCCCAGCCTTGCATTCATCAAGCCCACAACGCATGATGTGTTCGGTATGCAAGTTGTATAGGTTGGGTGAGAGTATACAACCCTGCTGTACGCCTTTCCCAATCTTGAACCAGTCTGTTGTTCCATAGTCAGTTCTTACTTATATGCATATATCCCTATTAACCATATATCCCTATAAGTTGTATAGGCTGGGTGAGAGTTTACAACCCAATCTTGAACCAGTCTGTTGTTCCATGGTCAGTTCTTACTTATATACATATATCCCTATTAACCATATATCCCTACAAGTTGTATAGGTTGGGTGAGAGTATACAACCGTGCCGTACGCCTTTCCCAATCTTGAACCAGTCTGTTGTTCCATAGTCAGTTCTTACTTATATGCATATATCCCTATTAACCATATATCCCTGTAAGTTGTATAGGTTGAGTGAGAGTATACAACCCTGCTGTACACCTTTCCCAATCTTGAACCAGTCTGTTGTTCCATGGTCAGTTCTTACTTAGAATCATAGAATCAGAGTTGGAAGAGACCTCATGGGCCATCCAGTCCAACCCCCTGCCAAGAAGCAGGAATATTGCATTCAAATCACCCCTGACAAATGGCCATCCAGCCTCTGCTTAAAAGCTTCCAAAGAAGGAGCCTCCACCACACTCCGGGGCAGAGAGTTCCACTGCTGAACGGCTCTCACAGTCAGGAAGTTCTTCCTAATGTTCAGATGGAATCTCCTCTCCCCTATTAACCATATATCCTGTCAGGTTTTACAATGTATTGTAATGTAATATAGCTGAATCATGCACCGCTAATGTGCTTCTGTTGGAAATGCTGAGTAATGCATTGACTGTATATAGGGAATCATTTGGGGAATGTGTTCTGGCCTAGTCCAGGTGATTGTGAATGATGTAATCCTGGGTCTGAGTTAAGTTAATGAGTTGGGAACCAATCAGAGATTACTATGTGTAATTGTATAGAATTGTATATAAGGAGGTCATGTATAGTGTATATTCCTCTCCTTGTGCTGTGATGTTGCTCGTCAAAGGCTATATGTAATTGAATAAAAGAACCTGTCTACTAAGACAAGATATAACTGTATGCTGTGGTAAGTTTGTAATGTCATCTAGACTGGGGGAAAGACAATGGTAAAACTGACAATGGCCGGGCATTTGCTCAAGTGTCTGTAAAAGGTTCCAGAGTGACTGCAGGCTGTGGGAGCAGTTGATTGAAAATACTGTGCAGGAAGAAGCTATTAGAAAGTGCTGAAGTTGTGCAACTGATCTGCTGCTGAATTGTGAAGTTAATCTCAACATATCCCTATAAGTTGTATAGGTGGAGCCCCCAGTGGCGTAGTCGGTTAAACCCCTGTGCCAGAAGGACTGAAGACCGACAGGTCGCAGGTTCGAATCTGGGGAGAGGCGGATGAGTTCCCTCTATCAGCTCCAGCTCCTCATGCAGGGACATAAGAGAAGCCTCCCACAAGGATGATAAAACATCAAATCATCCGGGCAACCCCTGGGCAACGTCCTTGCAGACGGCCCATTCTCTCACACCAGAAGCGACTTGCAGTTTCTCAGGTCGCTCCTGACACGACAAAAAAAAAGTTGTATAGGTTGGGTGAGAGTATACAACCCTGCTGTACGCCTTTCCCAATCTTGAACCAGTTTGTTGTTCCATGGTCAGTTCTTACTTATATACATATATCCCTATTAACAATATTTTCACATTTATATTAAATTTTATTTTAGTATATAATTCCACCTGGTTGATTCAAGGGTTTCTCATGGCGTTCGGGTGACACACCCACACCCTGCAGCCGACACAAAACGTGATACTACACACAGTTTGGAAAGCTCTGTTGTGGACATTCCCAAAGTCTAGTAGTTAGGCGTTTTGGACTTCAGCTCCCAGAAGCCTCAGCTGCATTGGCCAATGCTCAGGGAGCCTGGGAGTTGAAGTCCAAAACACCTGGAAGCCCAAAGTTTGGGGAGCAGTAGTGCAGGGGCGCTTCTAGGCGTCCAGAAGCAAGCAGGCGAGGGGCTTGAGGATTCCTGCAGTTCGATGAAAGGGATGAGACACCTCCTTCAAAGCCAAACGAGAAGGGAGGACAAAGGGGGCGCCTGAGGGAGGGAAAGAGGGAGGGCGCCCCGGTCCTGACTCACTCACCTGCCCTGCTCGGCTGCGGGACTGGGCCCACCAAGGGACGAAGCGGAGGAGGCCTTCCCCCACATCCGGGTCTCTCTCGGGCGAAGCCTGCGCGCGAGGGCTCCTTCCCTTCCTCACAGGAGGCGCCGGCGGTGGCGGGAGAGAGGGCGGCTGCTCCCTCTCGCCCCGCCACCCCGAGCCCTCATTCCCCAGCAGGACGGAGGCCGAGGAGGAGGAGCCGCTCGCCTCACCCGCTCTCGGCCCTTCTCGCCCGGCCTTTGCCCTCGCCGCCACGCTTCTACCTGCCGCCGACACCGCCTACTGGGGCTGCCCGACTCGCCCCCCGGCCGCCATCTTGCTGGAGGAGACTGCCACCCCCCGGCGCATGCGCGGCCGAGCGGGCTCCAGGCTCCGAAGCAGGCGAGGAAGAAAGGGGCCCCAGTGCGCCTGCGCAAAGAGGGGTGTGCGGCGCCTGCTGTTCACGCTCCCTCACACCTGCTGGGAGAGCAGCTGGGAAAGGGGCGGGGCTTGTAATGGATCTCGCGCTTGACAATGAGACCGTCTGGAGCCAAGAAGGGGGACTCCACCAAGGCCGGGCTGATCCTGCTCCTTGCTGCTGCTCCTTGCTGCTGCTCTTTGGCAGCCTTGGAAAGGGGAGGGAGCCGAGGAAAGCTGTGTGAATGTCGCTCCAAAATCAGAAGGAGGGCTGAGATAATGTCACCTTTGCTTTCCAGTGATTCAGTGTGGTGGAGGCTCCTTCTTTGGAAGCTTTTAAACAGAGGCAGGATGGCCATCTGTCAGGGGTGATTTGAATGCAATATTCCTGCTTCTTGGCAGGGGGTTGGACTGGATGGCCCATCAGGTCTCTTCCAACTCTTTGATTCTATGATTCTATGCAAACTTTGTCCCATGCACAAAATTATTAAAATACTAGCTGTACCCGCCACGCGTTGCTGTGGTCGACCTTCCCTCCCTCCTTCTCTCCTCCTTTCTTTCTCTCCTTTCTTGCTTCCCTTTTTTTCTTTCATTCTCTCCTTCCTTGTTTTCCTCTTTCCTTCCTTCTCCCCTTTTCTTTCCCTTCTCTTTCTCCCCTTTCTTCCTTCTCTACCTATTCTTAGACTGCAACTCCCAGCAGACAACCTGAGAACACAGAAATGCTGGACCACTCTAACAACTGTTTTACCCCCCAGGCACTTCCAAGCCATTGAATGCTAATCAAGGTGATCAGCTGAAACATTCACACCTAGCCCCAGCAGACAAAAGTCCTTTGTCTCACCCTGGTCATTCCACAGATATATAAACCCATTTTTCCTACTTCCAACAGACCTCACTACCTCTGAGGATGCTTGCCATAGATGCAGGTGAAACATCAGGAGAAAAATTACCTCCAGAACATGGCCATATAGCCCGGAAAAACCTACAACAACCCAACTGTTTTTACTGTTTACCGTTATTGCTTTAACATTTTGATTTGATTTATGCTTTATGTGTATTTGTTATACTGTTGTTTTATTGAGGCCTTGGCCTTTGTAAGCCGCATCGAGTCCTTCGGGAGATGCTAGCAGGGTACAAATAAAGTTAATAATAATAATAATAAAATAACCACCATGTCAGACTACACAGAGAAGCCATTGAAATCCACAAGCATGTGGACAATTTCAACAGAAAGGAGGAAACCATGAAAATGAACAAAATCTGGCTACCAGTATTAAAAAAAAACCCTCTAAAATTACAATAGCAAAACAACAGACAGGAAACAATCTGGGGCAACTAATCACCTCTCAACAAAAGATTGCCCCAGGCACTGCTAATCAAGGTGGTCAGTTGAAACATTCATACCTAGCTCCAACAGACAGGAGTTCTTTGTCCCACCCTGGTCATGCGACATATATAAATCCATTTTCCTAGTTCCAGCAGACCTCACTACCTCTGATGTAGATGCAGGCAAAATGTCAGGAGAGAATGCCTCTAGAACATGGCCATATAGCCCAAAATAACCTACAATAACCCAGTTCTGATCAATCTATCTACCTATCTATCTCTTTCTAATTTATCTATCTATCTGGAGGATTGTTGGGAGTTGCAGTCCAAGGATAGGAAATTGGAAATATGCAGGGATTGGGACACTCTGAAAGAGATCGAAGGAGAAGAAAGCTTGCAGCTTGGAAGCAGTACATTTGCATCATCCTCCTCTCCTAAAGGGGCTGGTCTAGGGGATGCCGGGAACTGTAGGCCAAAAGAGAGTGTGGATATGCTTTTGTGTGTTTTGTTTGCCAGGGGGAGTTGTTTTTGCGCATCTTGTTGGGGTTTTTTTTTGTGCCTTTAAGGCCCTTCTATTGTGTTTTTCAGTGTTTTTATGAGTGATGGTCATTCGTTGGCCTGATAGGTGTATTGTGTCAAAATTCTATGTCAATTTGTCCAGTGGTTTTGAAGTTATGTTAATCCCACAAACTAATATTACATTTTTATTTATATAGACAATTAATAAGGGAAATGCTATAGACTGCTCAAACTTTCATACAGTTGCACATATTTCACATGCCAGTAAGGTAATGCTCAAGATCCTGCCAGGTAAACCAAATTGCCAATATGCGCTGGATAATGGAGAAAGGCAGGGAGTTTCAGAAAAACATCATTTCTGTTTTATTGACTATTCTAAATAAAGCCTTTGACTGTGTGGATCATAATGAACTGTGGCAAGTTCTTGGTGGTATGGGGATACCAAGTCACCTTGTCTGTCTCCTGAGGAATCTGTATAACGACCAGATAGCAACAGTAAGAACAGACCACAGAACAACAGATTCAAGATTGGGAAAGGCATATGGCAAGGCTGTGTACTCTCACCCAACCTACTCAGCTTTTATGCAGAAGACATCATGCGACATGCGGGGCTTTACAAATCCAAGGTTGGAGTTAAAATTGCTGGAAGAAATATTAACAACCTTAGATATGCAGATGATACCACGTTGATGACTGAAAGGGAGGAGGAGGTGAGGAGGTGAAAGAAGAAAGCGCAAACGCTGGGTTGCAGTTAAACATAAAAAAAACCCCAAGATTATAGCAACCGGACTGATTGATAACTGGCAAATAGAGAGGGAAAACGTGGAGGTCGTGGCGGACTTTATATTTCTAGGCACGAAGATTACTGCAGACACAGACTGCAGCCAGGAAATCAGAAGACGTTTACTTCTTGGGAGAAGAGCAATGACCAATCTCAATAAAATAGCGAAGAGTAGAGACATCACACAAAGATCTGCATAATTAAAACAATGATATTCCCCATAGTAACCTATGGATGTGAGAGCTGGACCATAAGGAATGCTGAGTGAAGAAAGATAGATGCTTTTGTACTGTGGTGTTGGAGTAAAATCCTGAGAGTGCCATGGACCACAAGAAGATCATCCAACCAGCCCATCCTCCAGGAAATAAAGCCCGACTGCTCATTGGAGGGAAGGCTTTAAAGGCAAAGAAGAAGTACTTTTGGCCACATAATGAGAAGACAGGACAGCTTGGAGAAGACAATGATGCTGGGAAAAATGGAAGGAAAAAGGAAGAGGGGCCGACCCCTTGGATGGATGGATGTTATCCTTGAAGTGAGAGGCTTGACCTTGAAGGAGCTGCTGGTGGCCACAGCTGACAGGAAGCTCTGGCATGGGCTGGTTCATGAGGTCACGAAGAGTCATGAAGAGTCTGAAGCAACTGAACAAATAAACAACAACAAAAAGCACCCCTGTATGAAGATGCTCCAAAATCAAAAGGAGGGCTGAGATAGTGTCACCTTTGCTTTCCAATGGAGGCAGATGGAAATCCATGAAAACTTGTGCTAAAATAACAGTCAGTCTGTCTTGCAGGTGCTGCTAAATCCTTTCTCCTCACTTTAGTTTTCCTGTTGAAATAGATTAACACTCCTGTCTGGTCAAATACACCACTGTGTTCTCTTTGACAGTCGGATGTCAGATTACATTACAGGAGATGGCACTCAGAATCTATTCTAGGTATGAGAAATGTTCGGAAAGGTTAATTGGCCCATAATCTGCTTTTCTCACACAGCTTTGGTGTGATTTATCTCTTCAAATGGGTTTACTTTATTTAGCATCTTGTTTTGTAAACTTTAGGAACTTGCCTGTGAGTTTTGCTCTTTTGTCATTTAACTACAATATTAATGTGAGAAGCAGCATCTCTATATCTACATCCCTTTTTCCAAAATCAGTTTCCTAGATAGATCTGTGTTGGTGTCAGTGGGCTCTGCCTTAGGATAAAAGTTCTACCCTTTAATCATGTTTTTTCCCAGTTTGATCCAGGTTTCCTGCAACATTTAGAAACTTGTGTCCATTCATTTGCAGGATGTTCCTAAAGTAACATCTTCATTCTTAGTGTTATTGTCCTCAGTATGTTCTTTTAACTATACTTTTACATGATAATTAGTTTAAAGTGTTCCAGATGTCAAAATACACAACAAGCCCTTTGAGATATTATTATTATATTATTGATTAATTGATTAATCAAGGCCCCTTCCACACATCTTTTCTACTTTGAACTGGAATATATGGCAGTGTGGACTTTGGGCCCTTCCACACAGCCCTATAGCCCAGAATATTAAAGCAGAAAATCCCACATTATCTGAGTGTGGACTCAGATAACCCAGTTCAAAGCAGATATTGTGGGATTTTCTGCCTTGATATTCTGAGTTGTATGGCTGTGTAGAAGGGCCCTAATATAATCTGGTTCAAATCAGATTATGTAGATTTTCTACTTTGATATCCTGGATTAACTGGCAGTGTAGAAGGGGCCAGAGTTAATTGAGTACTAGGTGTTTTTGCATTTTAAATTTGGTTTGTGGCAGTTAAAGTAAGCTAAGGACACAAGGGGAAAGTGGGAGAAAAACAGCTGAACTGGGACATTATAAAACCATCTGAAAAAACTGGACGACAAATGGTTAATTTCCAAATTCAGAAATCTGAGGATTATAGAACTGTTTCATGATCTCCAGGCAGCAGGGCATTGAGGAAAGCTGATAAATACTTTGTTCCTTTTGTCTTACTGTTGTCTCTAATCAGGAATATTTGAATAACTTTACAAAGCTTATAAAATGTGCAAAAACCTGTTAGACTAGTAATGAAGCAGAATGAGTACACACCTTTAGCTCTTGAAGAAAAGCCTTAATCCAAAGAATGTAATTAATATGAAGAATAGTCTAGCTAACCTCTGCAATGTGGGAAACCATTCCTGATTTCAGTGGAACACAAGAGATCAGAATGACAGTCATAAGATAGCCTTGGGTTTTTGTGTGCATGTGTTTTGTTTTTATCCTCATAGGCTTTTTAGGCTTAAACAAATCAGATATTTATATTTTCAAATAATTTTAAATAGTTCTTTTACCTAAAGTGT